TCAAAAGAAATAAATTACATATTTGAACTTAATTCTTTCTCCAATAACTCCAACTTCTTTCTTTTTACTGCAGCATCCAGCACCAAGAGCTCCTCTTCTTTACGTGCTTTCCTGGATTCGATTGGGGACAAATCTTTCTTCCGCTGTGGATTGTATAGCAACATTAACCCCTCTATTCTAACAAAGTCACAAAATTGAGCGCATCACTGTTGTGATTTTTACTGCGCCTGAAAATATGCCACAAAAATTAGTTTATAGGTGCTAAGGAAATGCACACAAATATAAATATTTTTATCGGCATATATGTCGCAGCAGCATAGTTTGAAACGTAGTAGATACCTCAATAGTGATGCGCTTAATTTTGTGACTTTGTTAGAATAGGGGGTAAATCTCTTTCTTGGAAACCGTTGGAATTGATCGCCTTATCATACATGGCCTTCATCTTGTCACTCATAAATTGAGTACACCGTCACATAAGAGGATGCATCTTTCTCAGCTCTTCCTCAAGGATGTTGAACGTCTCTTTCCCAATCCTTTTGCAATCACCACTTACATCAAACTTCAGGTCACTAGGCAAACAGAGTTTACTGCCGAAGATTAGGTTAGGTTAGGTAAGCGGGCTGCCTTCGCATATGGAGGCACAATTGGACTCGACTGAGCTGTCTATTGTGATGCCCTTAGAGGGAGGAGGGAACAGGATGCAGGGAGGCCAAAAAGACAGTGGATGGGTAGGGGAAGGAGGGGGAAGCTATGGGAGAAAGACGACATCTATGGGTTTTGCTGGAGAAACGCTCCGTGCTCACAACGAAGCTCTTCAGTCGACTGATGTCCACTCCCGAGAGCTCATCGAATGTGAAAAAAAGTGCGAGCCAAGGTGCTTAAACCTTAGGTTCGCAAAGGCAGGGCACCAGAGCACCAGATGTTGAGATGATTCCACCTCATCGTCCTCCATGCAGCTGGTGCAGTAAGGGTTATCCACGACATACAGCCTTACGGCATGGTTACCAATCACACAGTGACCAGTAGGCACTCCCACCAATAGTGAGAGATGCAGCTTGCTTAGTCTCAAGAGCTCCTTAGACCGCCTCCGGTCCACCCGTGGCCAGAAGGACTTTGCCACCTTGCACTGCAAGATCGTCGCCCAGCACTCGCTGTGCTGACTAAACGCCCATCTGTCCAGAAGCAGACCAGACGGGGTCAGGGGAACCCACAGACCCTCCCTATACGAAAGTAATTCCACGAGGGTTCCCTGTCTTGCGAGCTCATCAGCCATGCAGTTGCCAGCGATTTCGCTGTGACCTGGAACCCAAATAAGCTTAATAGCAAAACAATCAGACGCGGTCGTTGGGGAAGTCAAACACTCCCTCACCGTTTTCGAACGCACCGTCAAGGAGCCAAGAGCCCTGATGGCTTCTTGGCTGTCAGAATAAATATTTACCTCCTTAACAGATGTTACACTAGAGAGCAACCAATCCGAAGCCTCTTTCATCGCGGCCACCTCAGCCCGGAAAACACTGCAGTGATCCGGTAACCTAAATTTCAGGTTGATGGAGAGTTCTTCGCAGAAGACACTTCGGTCCACCTTCCCATTCAGCTTCAATCCATCTGTAAATAAGTTTACAGGTCCGCGATTCCAGATACTGCACCCCTCCCAGTCTCCCCTCGCTGGAATGTGGGTGGTAAAAGATCCATTCGGACCCAGACCAACGTCCAGTGGTCTGTCCGAGTCGGTAGGAATCCCAAGCCTTTCAGAATTCTGGAGTGCCCATAGATTGAGGTGAACTTGAAGCCCACCCACTTAGGCACAACATTTAACATGACCGCAAGAGTAGGTGTGGTTCGAAGTGCCCCACTGAATCCAATTAAGGCGGCTCTTTGCACCTCCTCCAGCTGCTTGACGATGTAGGCCCTGTCAAGTGCGTTCCACCAGACGAGTACCCCATATAAAAAAATTTGCTTGATTATAGTTTCATAAAGCCAATGCACTACCTTCGGTGAGAGGCCCCAGCGCTTGCCAATGGCCCCTCTACAACAATACAATGCTACTGTAGCCTTCTTGACTCTTTCCTCCACGTTAGGATTCCAGGAAAGCTTACTGTTAAGGATCAAGCCCAAGTACTTCACCCTGTCAGAGAGCCTTAGAAGAAGACCACCCATTGAGGGAAGACGGCAATTCGGTATCTAATACCTCCTAGTAAAGACAACAAGCTCCATTTTACTGAGATTTACACCCAGCCCGCAGCTAGAAGCCCAGTTCTCAACCAAGCTCAAGTAACCCTGCATAAGCTCAAACAGTGTTTCCGGAAACTTTCCATTTGTTATCAATACTACATCATCGGCATAGGCAACCAACCGACAGCCACTTCTTTCCAGAGCCACCAGCAAGTCATTGATTACAACGACCCACAGCAACGGCGAGAGAACTCCCCCTTGCGGATTGAAGCGCTGCCCACTCTGCCGCGACAGTTCTATTGTAAAGCAAGCGGTAAATAAACCTAACAAGGTCGGCTCCGACCACTAGCTTATTTAGGGAGTTAACTACAGCCTCAGGCAAAACATTGTTAAAAGCCCGCTCGATATCAAGGAAGGAACCGACCGCAAATTCCTTCTGCGAGAAGGATTGCTCAATATTTTCAACGACCATGTGTAAGGCCGTTTTAACAGATCTGCCCTTGCAGTAAGCATGCTGATTCAAGGAAAGGCGCTCCCTGAGGATCCCGCTCCTTAAATGCAGATCAATCAGCCTTTCCAGCGTCTTCAAAAGAAACAAGGAGAGACTTATCGGCCTGAAGTCCCTGGGTGATACATGAGGGACTTTACCCGCCTTGGGAATGAACACCACTCTGACCACCCTCTAAGACCCCGGTACATGGCCTTTAGCCAATCAGGACTACATCGACTACACCGTGCTCAAGGTGGATTAAAAGGTTGGCTTTAGAGTTCTGAAGATTGATCTGAAGAATATTCATCCTCCAAAATCCTCTCCACCACCCCTCCGCAGGCGCCATCCCCATCGGACGCAAGGAGCACTTTTTCCTCCGCCCTGTCGAACAGCGGGCCAACACTGTTGAGCGATCCCGCAGTTGAAGGAGGACCAGCACAGCTGTCACTGTCCGACATGACGGATTCGACCACCATACCTACGGGGGCATCCTCCGCATTAGTATTTTCACCAGCTAGCGCAACCGGAACAGGCTCGTCATCCCCTCTGGAGTCGGTCTGGTAGACCTTCATGACTACCTTCTCGAACCCATAGTAAATGACACCCTGTTTTTCGGCGAGAGGCTTAAGAGACTCCCATTTCAGCAACATCAGCGCTTGCGGAAAGTCACCGTCGGAGTTCTCAAACCGGATTACCTTCCAGCTGTGCGCTGAAAAGTCCGGGTTGCAGTAGCGGAAGATATCTTCCGCCTCCCTCAGCGAGGAAGGTGCCGAGGGAAGCCAGACCCGCGCAGGGGGACGCAAGGGAAGTTCTCCCTTGTCCATAGCCTCGAGTCTGGCTCCCTTCTAAACCTCTCCGACCAAAGCTACTGCCGCCTGTACAGCGAGGCCGAACGCACGCCCGCACACCACCTTCTTAAACATGCCCTGGTGCCAACCAGCACTCTCACACCGCGGCGGTGACCCAGGGTTTTCCCTGACCACTCTCATACAGACCTCGGATAAAGCCGACGACAGTTTCCTCCAGTCCTCCCTGGCGATGGCCCGTCCTCCTTACCCCGATCCAAAACGCGCAGAGTGATAGAACCCGACTGTTTAGCGATCTCGCTAAAGAGCTTAGGCGTCCCACCCGATCTAGGCTTCTTGGGGAGGGGGGTTTCCCCCTCCTGCGACCTCTGCCGCTTGACAGGGTCAGTACGGGATGCGCTCGCAACCCCAGAAACACCCTCACCACTCCACTCGAGCGACCGCGCGTGTTGCTCAGATAGCTGCGAAGCACCCTGCTCGCTGTATCGCGCCAAGATCTTGGTGGCCATGCCGGCCCAGCGTGCCGATTAGGCCTAACGGAGGGATTTGCCACGATTTTAGCCGCAAGTTCTTGGCTGGTGCCGGCCATACTGTCCAGTGACCTCACGTCCAGAACCGCAGACGACTTCATCTGCGGCCCTACCTACGTCCTGGATGCAGGCAAATTCGCCCGCGCCCTTAACCCCGAGTCTAGGTGCGGTATGTTCCCACTGGCACCTCCCAAGACGGGCGCAGACAAAGAGGTCGGCTCCGACCCCTGACGGCACCTTGCACCATCAGCTGCCTTCCAATGGGCACGGTGTCGCTTAACATCCTGGATTAGGGGGTGTGAGTTGTATGACATAGGAAATCACTTAAATATTTTCGATTCATGCAAAAATAAGAACACGGGGTAAATTTATGTAAGTAAGTAATTAAGTAAGTATATTTTTTTAACAACTTAAGTAAACTTCTGCATCCGCCATGCTCTACATTTTTATATCAAAAAATAATTAAATTACTGTATTGAATCTTTTATTGATAAAAACGAAGGGTTGTATCAGATTTTCGACGTAGTTTTAAGTTAGTTTTTTTAACCGTTTCAGTGAAATGGTTAACTGCTATCATTTTTATATAGCGAAACCACGCTCAATCATGTGGGTATTTGGGATAACCAAACTAACAGCCGTAACTACGTGGTTAAGCTCGGATGGAGACATTGTCCAACTCAACGGCCATAACTACGTGCTTAAGCTCTGGTGGAGACATAGAGTAAGAAGTCTACTCCTATGATGACTCTATCCATAATCTCTGCGGCTATGCACTTGTGTAACACCGCCACATTCCCTATTGCGACTTTGCATGGTACTTCTTCCACATCTTGGGTAGTCTCACCAGTTTCTGCCCTCAACCTTGCTCCAGGCCTTACCTCTTTAGTGACCAAATCAGATCGAATAATGCAATGTGATGCGTCCGTATCCACAGTTAGTACTCGCTCATATCCGTCCACATATCCACTAACAGTGACTTGCTATCTTTTCTGCAAATTTTCGATGGATATTATGAGGCATTCAATTGCGGGAGTCAGCGCGCGCCCTCTCGTGCTGGCTCGTTTTAGTTTAACGACTGAATCGGGTTGGATTCGTCTTCTTCAGCCCTACGTTTGCGTCGTGTTGAACTGTTGTACCTGTTGGAACCCGTCTTACCATCACGTGCAAAATGGCCTGGTTTTGCGCAATTAAAGCTTTTCCAACATCCGTTTTCTCGGTTCCACCAGGATTATTCTTACCTGCGATTGACGTTTTCAGATTCTTGTTCATCACGTCCGGTGTCTCCACTTCCACTCAATGGTCTTTGTACGATGATCTAAATAGCAAATGTTGGCTTGGAACTCGCTTGGCATTCTGTAATTGTGAGAAAAGTGGTGTACACCAAGTGCAAAACTCACCGAATAAAATTCAGTGAGTTTTTTTTTTGGAAGAGTGCACACAATTTTACAGCCTAAAATATTTTTGTGGAGGTTGCAACATGTTTGAAAATTTTAATTTTATCGAATTGATATGATAATTGAATATTGCAATATGGGCATCAAACTGAAAGGTTTTGGAAAGTTAACTTCTGAAAATATTTTTAGGGAGTATTACTATCTGTTTGAAAAATTGTATTTAACTAAATTGATAAAATAAATGAAATATTACAATACGGGTATCAAACAAAACAAAAATACTTTTAAGGAGCAGTGAAGGGCGCCGGGTATTTGCCAGTGTGAAATACAATAAAACAATAGTAAATAAAATGAAGTAAAATTAAAATATAAAAACCAAATAAAATAAAATAAATAATAAAAACAAAAAATCTTTTGGCAATTGCTCCTACCGAGGATCGAACCTGGACCCTACGGACTCGCAGTACGCAGCTCGCATGCTATATTTGTTTACTTGTACAATAGACAACAGCTGGCCCATTTTACCAGTGTTGTCATCGAAAGTGCCCTTGAACCGAATTAATTTTGGGAATTAACTCTATTTCTTCGCTACTTCCGTCTGAGGTCAAAAAGACATTTCAAGTAAAACAAGTAATTTTTAGCAAAAAAAAACGACTTCAATTCAAAAAAAAATATATATATATATATATTTCATAATTCAATGATCGGATTTAAACCAGATTAATATGGGACCACCTCTGAGACCTTACCTTTCCGATGCAAAAAATCTATTATCGATTATCGGTTGACGTGGTCCAAAGTTATGCGTAACATACATAAAAAAAAATATTCCGACGAACTGATAACCTCCTCCTTTTTTGGAAGTCGGTTAAAAAATCACGCTCAAACAATTGCCATCCAAAACAAACACACCTCCAATAGCTGTTTGGTCATCACGAGCCTACACTGCTTGCAGCTACAAAAGCCGATTGGTGGACACATGTAGTCATCACCTCGAGGAATAACCTGCTAATATATTTGCTGATTGGTGAAGATAAGCATTCATCGACTAGAGGAATAACGTAGCTTATATGAGCTGACTGCTCCACCAACCAAACCAAATCGGAAAAAGAAATACGAGGGTTACTGCCGTTTGTTCATTAACTTATAAAAAACTCAATCTTTCTTTGGATTCAGCGTTTAACTGGGGGGATATATTGCACACGATCTTCAAAAGTGACACAACTCAAAATAACACATTCATCAGAAAATGCGTAAAACTACTTCGTAACACATGCAAATCATATGGGCAAGGGAGACTTTACCTTAGGTTTTTTCAACAAATTATATCTGAAATTTGCTCCAGCTTTTGCTTGAAGGTAAATAAAAGCTCTGCGTATAATTTTAGTGCATAATTTCAAAAATTCCAAATTTTGAGTTGTGTTACTTTTGAAGATCGTGTGCGAAATGCATGTCGACATCAGAGCACAAAGTTTTAAACTCTAAATGTTAACGTTACTTCTTTAATTTTGCTGATCAGCAATTAATTTTAGACAGGATAAAATCTGCGGCAACATGCCGCATGCAATTTTTTGTGTTTTCTGACAAATAAAAAAATTTTATTTTAATAAACTTTTGAAAGAAATACTCGTAGCGTATGTACTTACATATGTACGCTTACATGCATGCATTTCACTGTATCAAAGGCTTTGAAGATAACTTTGTACCATGAGACTTCATATGCGAATTAAGGCCAGCCCCTTGTGCGAAACGCTTTCCACAAATTCTACATGAATATCTTTTTTCGGCATCATGAATTAATTTGTGCTGTCGCAAAAGTTTTGAACTAGTAAAAGATTTGTTACACACATTACAATGATGGTTTCGCAATTCCAGGTGGGCATTAACGTGGTCTTTTAATTTTCGTTTTTCATAAAATGCCTTCGAACAAATTTCACACTTATGCTGCGGTCGTTTTTCGTGGCGGTCCCTATGTCTTTTAAATTCAGCAAATGATCCAGTTGCTTTCCCACAAATATCACATACATACGGTTTTTCACCCGTATGCAATCGTGCATGAGTTTTTAATTCTGTAGCCGTTGCAAGGGACTTGTTACACACCTCACAATTAAACGTGTAGTCTTGAGCATGTCTTCTTAAATGAACTGTTAGGTTAGTGACCAGCTTGAAACCATGCCCACAAATGTGGCATTTGAATGGCAGTGAGCCATCATGAGTCGATAAATGAACTTTGTACTGGCATGGACCAAATATAAGTTGTTCACATTGTGAACATTCAAACGGAGTTACATCGACTTCCAGAAAAGCGATGTGATCATAATAAGGGCAACTTGGTTTATAATCTATTTTTTTTCGTTTACATGCTATCTTTTGTCTCTTCTCATTCGAGCATACTTTTCTCAGTCTTGAAATTTCTTTTTCTAACTCGTTTTTCGTTAGATTCAATCCATATGCTTCATTAAACTCCTCAAGTACATTATTCAAAGCTTCACGTCGCCTGTTAGCGAATCTATATGCTATGTTCTTTTCATCCCAAAGACTTGGATATCGCTGGTATATATGAGCCAATCTGATAAATTGTTCCTCATTTAAATTGCTATCCTGTACCGTGAACTTTTCGGACGTTGGTTTCAAAGTAACCTGTAAAAATATTACAAAAGAAAATAAACAAGTATGTAATTTAAAAAAAACTTTTTAAGACAAACATTAATTGGTGGTTACTAAAAAGAAGAAAAATCGACCCCCACACCACCTAACCGCAGTTACTTCTTTCCATTTAAACAATGTACATACGTTCTAAATTTGAAACAAATCCGACTATAAATACGTATTCTCCAAATATCCCGACTACCTAGCGGCCAAGATTGTTGTTTAGTTATTCCATTATTAATGCGAAACCTTGAGGATTCATTCATCTTTTCTATTGCATTGCCATCTGATTCTGAGCCAATTTTGAAGTTTCAAGTCTGTAGCTCATCGAGAAATTGGTTAAAAATTGATTGCAAGATTTCCTTACACACAAGCGAAACTTAATAAAAGCTTGTAAAACAAATAACCATAACTTTTTTCGAGATGTAGTGAAAGGGAAATTAAAGGAATCGGCCCGAAAATTACTTTTCGAGACACAACGACTACGTTTATAACATTTTTGGTCAATCTGCCCATCCACATCGATTTTTCGACTTGTAGGTCCATTTTAACTTTCCCTGTCACATATGTATGTGCATATATTTATGTCTGTGCACTACATACATAGTAGAATTGGGGAGCTTTTGAACTAAAGAGCAGCATATCTTGCCGATATGACGTAGGGTTGCCTATTTACAGGGAACTTAAATTTTAAGAAAACGTCTACTACCTTTCTTTAAAGTGCTGTATCTTGGAAACCTTTTAACGAAACTTAATGCAAAAAAAAGTATTTCTTCCGTCTTATTATGGGCTTTAATTAAAGGCCTGCAAATGTTGAACTATAAAACATAGCGACATGTGTCACATCTTGCAAGCGCCAGTTCATATTATGTCGCTCATACATGTTTCACTATAACATATGAAGACACTGTCGAATAATTGAATTCAAATCATGCATCAAATCTATGCATGTCAACACAAGCAACACATGCGACACATGCGACATAGTCAGCATTATTAATTATATTTTATATACGGGAAGAGATTTTGTAAAGTTTTTAAGCACCTATTATAGTAAAATGCATCAAAGAATTGTCTAATTTAAAACCTGTATATATTTTCATCCAAGGCAGGATTAAAAATATGCTACAGAAGCACAACAGCGAATAACAGCTTAGCTAAGTAGCAACGACATGCTATGTTTGAGATGGAATGACATGGCATAACACCTTGTTTGAGTTGACATGACATAGCAATGCATGCAATTTCTGAAAGACATTTTTACAGAAAATCTTGAATTTTGCAGTTCTTTAGCTTTAATTATACATTTTTTACATTAATGTGCAACGAATAAAAAAAGTAAAAAAAATAAGTAAACATTTTTCTTTCAGATTTTTTTTTTTGATTATAGAATTTTAAATGTTTTTTACATAAAAACATTGTCTATTGCGACAGGATTTGAGGAAATTTTAAGAGACTAGCAGCTAGAGCAAGTCCTCAACTGCTTAAGAATAATTTAGAGAAGAAGAAGGTGCTGTATGTTTCCAATGGCATGTCTGCAAAAAATAGCTGCAACTAACTTTACAGTGGACTTTATTTCGACTATGACTACGTACCAATTACTTTAATCCTATATTAACCTTCAAGCGTATTTTGTGTCAATTTGACACAATTTTCAGATTCAAGTATATATATATTTAATACATGCATTCGAATTAACCTGGGATTTTGGCTCAACGTAAAAATCATATGCGAGTTTTTAATATTACTGTTCCCTTTCACGGGTAGATGTTCCTGTTAGTCTGTACAAAAAATTTCCCTAAAGAGTCGATCATGTATCAAATTGACACAATGGCAAAAAGAGCTTTATTAACCGGGAAAAAATTTGTTTTTACACATAAAAAAAACAGAATCAACGTGGTTCGAATTTTCTTTTAAAGTTTCTTATAAAATGGAATTGTCTGGGTTTGGTCAATTCGTAGGTAATGGGAGGATCCATACAGTTCTGGGGATGATGTGGATTATGAGCCATGTGAAAACATAGAAAGCGGTTGTAACGATTACAACAGTGACGATTCGGATGCCGTATATTTCGAAGAAAATGCCAGAGTAGCGAAAGTTACAGAGCCAAATGTAATGCTTTTATGGAATCCGGAATGGAATATTTCCAAAAAGGATATAGGCAGGAGGTTATTTTTGATTGAAGTTAGCGAATCCTTATGTCTTCTAAGCATTGAGCAACACAAACATATGCCGCGTTGCAGTAATGCAATTGCTGTTATCCAAGGGGTTAGAAACTTAGATTCTGAAACTCCATCAACAACGCAGTCTTAACACCATTCAATGTCGTGAGCACCTAAGGCTAGCAAACGAGCTTATGAGCTACATATCGTCGTTTAAAGTACAAAACCGCGTATCGTCATTCTGCAAAACCGCGTAACTGACATTGACTGCCAAAAATAGGATTTGCTCACACAAGCTCTTGGCTCAATACATACATTCCTCCTGAAATATGCTAGTAGCCAGAAATGCGATTGATTTATAAAAAAAGATAACCATTTTGAAATATGAATGTTTTTACTCTCTATAAAATAATTTATGCAAGCTCACATACGCGGTTTTGCATTTTGTTGATACGCGGTTTTGTACTTTAAACGGCGATATGCATGTATATGTGTCCTTAAAAATCAAACGCTAATATTTATAGCGCACGATGTGATAAGTGTGTAATAGATATTTTCCCCGCTCATCGATATACATATTCTGCGAAAAATGTACAGAATCTCAACCCTTTTTGAATGTGCTTAAAATCTAACAATTATATAAAACGAAAACATTTTTTTTGGTACTTCATGATGATGAGATGTTGATAGTTCTGCGTTTTGTAAATGAACACCTTATAACAAAACACGTCTCAATTAAAAATTCATTTATTTCAAAAATCAAGTTGAAAGCTTGAGTTGAAAACGCATTGTGTCAAATGTATATATTGACTCATTCGTGATAAAAAATGAACTACGCTTGAGGGCTAAGCTAGTTTAAAAGGTTAAATAACATCAAGTTAGGGAACTTCATATCCTTCTTAAAAGAATCTTTAAATCAATAAATAATTTTTTTCTTTTAGTTCTTATTGTAAAAAAACGTGTTGTTGATTTTTTCATACTATAATTTTATTATTCATTAGGTTTATTTTTTTACACACCTCTCCTTTTTCTTGTTTCAATAAAAGGACTAACCTTGAAGCTGTCATTGGAGATCGAATATTCTTTTGCAATGAGTGTTGTTGATGGTTAGGGTATAAAGGCATGAAATTTCTGCGTTTCCGGAATATATTGTGTCTTTGCGAAACTATCTTGAAACTTTTGCTTAACTCCATTGTAGTCACTCTTGGACGCATACAGCACCTTGGTTTTCTCTGAATTATTCTTAGCCCATTGGTAGAGGCTCTCGGGGGTCAGAATTTGTTGTGACGTCGGGAGCTGAAGAGTTGCTCTAGATCTCTAGATGCTCTAGTCTCTTAAAATTTCCTGCAATCGGAAGCAGATTTCCCATGTGAACTTGCAACAAAGTTCAGTTCTACCATTTCCTTGAATGGATTTTGGTGATTTCAGATCTTTAGTAAAGTTAATTTGATTTATTCACATTGTCTTTGTTTTTTACACACCTTCTCTCTTTCAAAAATATACAATTTCATAAAATTTCAATATCTATTTGTCATATTGCTCGAGCGTTGGACCACCCACAGTATACAGTAATCCAGATAGGCAAAACAAAAAATGTAAATATGCTTATTTGACAATTTATTTGAATGTATTGGTTGATATTTTTTCACAGCTGTCGTTTTCTTTAACCCAAATGAAATCCAATTTCAATATTTTCTTATAGTGGCAAATATTTCCAAGTCACTTTAAATAAAACAACGAGAAAAACAAAATTCCTAGCAAATCAGGCTTGCAGCGTAAGCGATTATAACCGGATGCAGTTCCTACATAAGTCATATCTGGTTCCAAACACAACTTTGAGTCAATAATGGTGGGCTGATTTTGGAAAATGGACCCATAAATTAGGGAGTAAAACAAGTATTACTTAGCTTAAAGGTAGAACTCTCTAATTTAAAAATATACCACTGTTATAGTGGAGATCTCCAAAGTTTTTATGAAACATGTACCCAAAGTTATATATCGACGCTCGAACTAATGCAGGAAAGGTTTATGCAGATAAGCAAGGCCGTTTTTCAACGGTATAAAATGTATATACACATATTATTACATACATATTTATCAAAATATTCAGAATGACGAAATGAAATGAATTGGTATCTGTTTGTAAACACGCTAACTCGAACAAAATTTAGATATTTTAACGAAAGTCGGTGCCGAAGTTGCCTTTGGTATAATTTAGGATAGTATTAAATTTTGGTGAAATCTGTCTATAACCACGACCACCTCCCATCAACAATATTTTTGTTTTATTATTTTTTGTTTACGCTGTCAAAATTTACATATCAAATATATCAACAAACATTTGGGGGTACTTTTTCACCAGTCATTGCCTATGGGTTAATGACAAAATAATCCTATACATGCACAATATTTCATGTATTAACCCACCATGCAAAACATGAGAAATAGGCGACAATCGTCCATGGCAACAAATTGGCGACTCGCCGATTTATTGCCGTAGGGAGAAATCGGAAACATTATTTCTTTTATGTCATTTTAGGAATATGTTTTCAAAAATTCCCAGAGTGATGAACTCCGCGTCAACAGGATTCTTCAAAAACATATAATTTATGCCCAAGAAAGGGTTGAAAAAATTAGGAAGCTCCATAGCGACGAAAATAGTTAATTTCGTTTACAAATTATAAGTTTGAGTTCAAAAACAAATGAAACATTGAGAAATAATAAATTTGTTGCAAGAAATTATTATTTAAATATCGCTTGTAGCAATAATAAAATGGCTCATTCAGGTAATAAGAAAACGACTCGCCCAGGCGAGTTGCCTGTGGCGGACGTTTTAGAGCGACTGGTAATAAGAAATCGATACGATGGCGATATTGCCGGCAATAAATTTGTTGCTTAGGGCGACAAGTTTTCTTATGTCCGGCAACAAAAATTGTCTGGTGGGAATTTTCAAATAAGCATATTGTCAATGGCTGGTTTACTGTATACTGTGGGACGACCTAGAGCTATACGCCTTAAAGTTGACATAATAGACAATGTTTTTATGTAAAAAAAAAATTAAATGCTATAGCCAAAAAAAAAATCATAAACGAACAATGTTTACTTACTTGTTTTCTTTTTTATACGTTGCACATTAATGTAGGAAATTTATAATTAAACCTCATAATAAGACAGAAGAAATAAATTTGTTTTCATAAGTTTCGCTAAAAGGTTTCCAGGATACAGCACTTAAAAAAATATGTACTTATGATGATTTCTTAAAATTTAAGTCCCGTATAAATACGCAACCCTACGTCATATCGGCGAAATATGCTGCACGCATATTCATACCTCCTAGACCTTCAATCTCTTCAATTTTCATCCAAATCCTTAGAGGTCGCGCACAGAGCTGGCCGCGGTGACATGATGGCTGCATTTCTTTATTCATTCTGAATGTTTGGAATAAACTTTTTTTTGTTTATTTATTCTTTAGAACGTTCCTGATGATATGTTGACGTATATTTCAAACGCATTCTGTTTATTCCGGCTGTGAAATGGGATAATCCGGAATGTATAAAGAAACGCAGCAGATATGTCTCATATGGGAACTCGTTTTTCGTTGCAAAGGCAAATAGAAACAACTGAGCGGAATTCACATCATTTAGTGCAATTTGTCTTAAAAGGTAAATATTTGAGTTGAGCTTTTGGGATTTGTTGTTTAACAAACGACTTTCCCTTTCAGATACCAAAGCATAACGCAATTTACTCGCATTTCGAAGGCAAAATTACAAAAAAAGGAAAACTAAATGCGGGCACTGCTGAATTTCCATAAACATCCTTTCCTGATTTTGGAAAAAGACGACCGAATTTTGTCGTTATTGCAATCATTTAATTGTATGTATGTGTTATAAAAGATACATTTTTTCAGCTCTTACTATCGAACTTGTTCAATTGGGTGAACTATAGTTAAATAAGGTGAACGAACTAAGAATCAGGAGAGCTACATAGTTTATTGAGCTGTACGACCTAGAAGTGAACTAATCTTTAAAATTAACATACATAGGTGTATATCTGTCGCCATGAGATTGAACTCTAGTTTTCGACTTTATGATATGCGTTATTGACACAGATGTATATGGGAAAATCTTTTGAGACGGGGACTTTTCAATTAAAAAAAATCATTCTTTTCAACATAGTAGCACAATTTTTTTTTCATAAATGATCACTTGTCAACCCAATTGTAGTACATTATAACCCGCGTAATTAATATTTTTTAATTGCTACTCAAGAGCAAGCGAAAAGAAAAAAATAATTAATTTTTAAGCTTAGCATACATCTATCACGAAAAACTAAATTTTCGCATATTTACACGTTTAGATGAATACCCTTAATATTTTCATAGAGCATTTTAAAAACTTACATGTGTTTCATCCAAGTCAGAAACTCGTGTAATGCTAGACAAAAAATTCATTGCATCAAAATAGTATAGGGTTGATATTCCAGACGAAGATCTTTGTTTTAATGCCCGCCTAAAATTTGTGCGGAGCGCCTGTATTTTTTCTTTAACATTAGTCACCGTCGCATTTGGGTATTTCTCTTTATATTTTTTTAGTAAAATATCATACTGCTCCCTTTTTAAAATACGGTCATGGTACGCCTTAGAACTTGTGTCCCACAATGCCGGTAAAGAACGATACTCTTCAATAAATTCGATATTAAACCTTTTATTAGCCTCTTTTTCTTCGACTTTGTTTTTGCTGAGTTCCGGGAAATCGTATTGTGCGTTCTCCTGCTCAAGGGTCAGGTCTGACTCGCTGTCGGTAACGTTTATCTCTTCTGATAACGTAGCTGCTCCATTATCTTCGAAAGATTGCTGTAAATATTTGTGTGGTAAGCAAATGCAAATAAGTTAACTTTTTCTCATACTTTGTTGAAAATAAAAGCAGCCTTTACTGATTTTGCGTAGGAAGTATGTCATTGTACATTTTAGTAAAATTTTGTTAATTAATTTTAAATCTCTAACTCTTTGGAATGAAATATGCTGAATATGCGTTCGAAAAGAACGAGGAAAGCATCAGTTACAAACGTGTATGTTTCAATAATAGCGAGCGTTGTGAAGAGCAAAGCAAACATATATGTATACACGTTTTAGTCACCCAGCGGCGCACTGCTAAATGGGGTCACATACTGGTTTACTTGAATTCGGAATGTATGCTATGACCGAACACTCTTCAGTTTGGTTGCAAGTGGCTGTAATGATACCGCAGATGGCAACTAGCAACTGGAAGCTAACAACTGAGTTGCTATATTGGCCCCTGCCTTCTGTGGATGCCGTGGAAACTTTGATTGAGATTTTTTATTTATTTTTTTCCAACTGTTTCATCAGCTTATTTGCACTCAAGTCATAGTTGCTACTACTTAAAAATTTTGTTATCTTCAGCTGTATAGCACTTAACTATAGCTGCTAATCATAAAATATAGTGGCGTTGCTCATCGGCAACCCAACTATAGTTGCATTACAATCGTAATCGACCCATAAGTATTCGCTTCTAAATTGGTCAGCGGTGTTGTAATCAATTATTTGTATGGTGGACGTTATACAGATTCTGGTTGGACCCGATTTAGCAGTCCGCCGTTCCAGTATATTATTAAATTTGCCCACGATGAAGTCCTCAACTGACTCTATGATTGTGGCTAGAGCGATAGCCATTCCTCCGACCAACCAAAATATGGAATTTAGTTTTGCGTTTACCCCTGAGTTGGAGAAGAATCCTAGTGGAAGCAGTCATGCATTATAAAAGAACTGTGCGAGGCGTGGCAAAATGTTTGTGGCCACAGGCCATTATAGTTTATTTCACTACGAATGTACCATTCATAGCGTAAAATTGTAAGCACTGAAAGACTATTGACAACCAAGCGTTAAAAAAACAATTGTGATGCCAGCAAAGCTGCCATTATTCTCTATCACCTAAATTGTGCAACACTTTCGTATTCGAATTTTGTTAGCAGCACGTAGTCCCCGAATTGGTTGGTTGTTTATTCATCTTCGTCTTCCCCATCTGACTCCTCCAACCTTAGGCCCAGGAAGCGAGCAGTCTCAATAGGTTGAGTCCACAGCGCTTCGGGTGTAAGATGGGTGGGATATGTAGGGCATGCGAACAGATGTTCCGCATGCTGGGCAGGTGTCAGCGATCTCAGGGTCTAATCTGGTTCTGTACGAGTTTAAGCGGCTGCACCAGCCAGATCTGAGTTGCGCCAGTGTGGTTCTTGTTTCGCGCGGTAGTTGGAATTCGCTCAAATCGATGGGAGGCGGCCGGCCACCGACGACTATGTATGCCTCGCGGCTCAGTGGCAAGTGAAGTTGTTGGTCGATGTCTGCTTCTAGGTGGCTGAGGTGTCTCCTTACGTGTCTTGGTGGTGCAGTTCTCTGTGTCAGGCTGTAGTTAGGGTGAGTTGTTCTGTGACAGCCTAGCAGGAACTGTTTTGACAGCAACGTATTATGATCCCTTACCCGGAGCATTGTAGTCTCGTCGTGTAAGTGTTGTTCGGAGGACATAAGGAGACACCCTGTCGCGGTTCGTAGAGCGGCGTTTTGGCAAATCTGAAGGTTTTTCCACTGCGTGTCACTCGTGCCTGCTGTCCACACTGGGGCGTCATAGTTTGCAACGGACCGGCCGATCGCTTTGTATGTCACGAGCAGAGTTTCCTTATCTTTTCCCCAAGTGCTGCCGGCGAGCGACTTGAAGACTTTATTTCTGCTTCGCAGTTTGTTGCAAACTGTGGTGGTGTGTGCTGCGAAGGACATGAGACTGTCGAACGTGACGCCTAGTATCTTTGGGTGGTTGACTGTCGGAATCTTGACTCCGCCAACGAACACGTTCAGTTCGAGCCTCACCTCTTTTGTCCACGTGGTGAAGAGTGGTCAGGCGTATGACTTTGGTTGCATATGCAAATTAAATGGCGGAGTTCAGCTGTCCAACAACAGGAGAGACAAAAGAAGATAGGATATAACCCAGTAAGCATTAAAAATATACAATGGTGTTCTCTGCAAAAGGTGTTCAGCTCCGTTTCTTCGCAAAACAGAAAGGAGAATTCTACTGCCTGAGGGTTATAATCCCTAAGTGCGGCTGAAGGCCGCCTATGCAGAAAGGTGTTCTGCCCCCCTTCTTTGCCAACACAGAAAGGAGAATTCTACTGCCTGTTCTATTCTACGCAAAAATACATTTGTTAAAAAGAACATTTTTTTTTCTAAAAACTTGTTTTTTCTATTTTTAATTAACTTTTTTATTCTTTATTCAAAATCGCCCGATATCTAATTTGGCATAATTTCTTTTATTAAAAAATCCCACGGTTTCTGTTAGTTCGATCATATTCCACTTCAAACTGCTCAGTTTGCCTAAGAAAAATCCGTTTTTCTCCCTTTTTCAAACGGTTCCCTAGGGGCCTGTGGGAGGAGCCCAAGGGGGCGGAGTATGCCTTTTTAGAAAACGGGGACTGCCTTCATTCTAGTGGGGCGGTTTGGGGGGGCCGCCCCGCCCCCTCGCCCTCTGCCACCTCGCACCCCAAAAAAGATGTGAGCGCTACTAAACATTGATATTTTAAGTTAGTTAGTTAGTTATAGTTGCTATTTGTACAAAATTTCCGACAAATACATATAAATGACAGCTATGTCGGATTCAGGAATACCAACATTACGAATTTCGAAGATGGCCTACGAATTTCGAAATAACGATACGACAACACGGATTTCAGCATACTAATTTTACGATTCGTAGCAAAATCGAATCTACGACGGATTACAGCCACTTTTAAATTCCGAGTATTGTTTATACTTACCATGCTTTCTTCGTCCGATATTGTACCTGATACTGCGGCTTCAGTATCTAGTGGAAGAATACTCATTTCACTTGTGTCCAACTCTATTTCAACTTTTTCAAAGTCATTGTAAAACTGTTCACTATCATCTTCCTATAAAGAATTCTGCTTTATCTACGTTCTTTAAAAGTTGGGACAACTTACCTCATAATACTCTTCCGATTTCATGTCGATTTCTGCGGAATCCTGTTTTCTTTCTGAAACAAGAAAGTCTGTCTCTTTGTTTCTCAGATTTATTTCCACAAATCTGTTCAAGTGGTCTTCGCAAATGTGTTGTATAAAATCGCCCAATTGCAAAAATGAATGGTCACAGAATTCACAGTTCAAGAAAAATTCTTTTCTCTCTATTGACAACAGTGTGGTTATTTCTCCGCATTTTCTTAAGTCTCCGTAATCAACTCTCTCCTTTTTTACCGCCATGTTTATTTGAGTAACTTCTATTAAAATTGTATTATAAAAGATGGATCTTAATTGCAGATTATATTATGTTACCAAAAGAAAAACAACTATAAACAAATTCTTTGGCAATTGCCCTAGACAGTAGTGTTTAGAGATGCGTGATGTTGACTGATTCATCGGAAACATCGATGCAAACAGCGTTGCCACACATGAGCTTTTCCTACCAAAACTGGTAGTTGTATTTCCATATGGTAGTTTGGAAGCCTAGATTTGATTTTGGTAGGTTCCGCGGCAATAATAGTGCGAAAAATAGTGTGGCGAATACTGCGGCAACACAAAGCGAACAACGAGAAATAGG